ATTATGTGTGATTAAAGTTCTTGATGAGCTACTAGTCTATTCAGATCACAATCTTAATTTTGCATGCTGTAACTATCTAATTGCTGATAAAATATTAGAAAATACAAGTTTTTAATCTCTGGTATGTCTACTGACAACATGACAAAGTTTTTTTTTAAAATTAAATATAACAAGCATCCAAAAATATGGCTACACTTTCAAAAATGAATTAAAAACAAAGATTTGCACTTACTGTTTTTTTATGTTCCATAAAGAAAAATTTCTTTTTAATGAAATGTAAACTAGATGGTGTTACATCTCAGACATGGTAAAAAGTAGAAACAAAACCAAAATCTTGCCACCCTAGCAGAATCTGCGATTGATGTTACACAAAATGAAGAATGCTTTCGTCACTGTCCTTGTAAATCGATTCGCTGCATAAGCCAGTAATTACAAATAATGAAATCAACTATGCTTGATTTAGTTTATAAAATAGTTTACAGCTTTATGCATATAAACTTCAATTGTTACATGAGTTAAAGCATGATGATAAGCCTTGACATCAAGCATTTGCAAAAGATATGTTACAAAAAATGGAGGAGGATGAAACTTTTCTATAACATGCAATGTTTTCAGATGAATCAACCTTTCACATATTATTAACCGATACAGATTGATAATACATGATATGTCAGGTATTGTTAATTAACACAATATGCAAATATGAGGATTAGAAAATTCTTATGCCATACTAAAGGAAGCAAGAGACAGCCCTAAAGTAAACCTGTGAAGTAGTTTACTGCACAATAAAATTACTATTGTACTTTTTTCTTTTCCAAAAAAAAAAAAAAAAAAAAAAAAAAAAACCCCGTCTGCTCTGGCAGTTCCCTTGATGTGGTTGAAATTTGGTGCTACTTTGGTAGACGGCTGCACGGATTTTTGGCGATTTACATTGGCGCGATTTTTTACGGTCGTCAGCCATCTTGAAAAATGCTGTTTTTACGTAGTTCACGCATAGTAAAGTATTCGAAACTTTAAAAAAATGAATATCGTTAAAAATAATGGATTAATTTTTTGTTGAAAACATTGTTTTTCAAGATGGCTGGCAAATGCAAATAAATACATTTACTAAGAGTATAAAATGCTAAAGTAAGGTTAAATTATTACTTTCATATAATAGAATAAAAACACCGCTATAAAAACATTGCCCCAACATTTAATTGGAATAAAATATTACTTAAATTGAATATTGAATTAAAAACATCATAAAAAGGTTTAAAAGAATTAAAATTTTTCAATTAATTAAATTCAAATCCTTTAAAATAAGTTTTATAGGATATAATTATTTAACATTAAAACATATGTGGCAATAAATATCTCAGGAATTTTTTAATAAAATTGAAGGATACGATTGTAAAGTAAAAGAAATATATGTTCTTACATTTTTTTTTTAAAGTATTTTATCTGTCATATATTGATAAGTACCAGAAAAAAAAAAAAAAAAAAAAAAAAAAAAAAGAAGAAAAGAAAGAAAAAAAAAAAAGATCTTCATCCGTGATCCACATCTCTTGCACTTCATTGAAGAAGCAATTAACGAGGTTTCCTCCAAAAATTAAAAATAAATTTCCTCTGACCCTTGTAACAATAAATAAATCTTTTATTAGGAAAGCCAGGTTGGCCAAAATAAGGTCTCAAACGGCAATTTTTTTATTCCGATACCAATAATTCTTGGTAATTACCAATAACAACATTCATCTTCGAAACAGACACATCCATTCGCTTTGAAATCTAAGGAACTCGAAGAGATGAATAATAAAATTTTAAAATGGTGCGGTAATGCACAAATATTCAGTAACCATTCAGGGAGCTGATTCCATCATGCACAGAATTAAAATTATTTAAATAATCATTCATAATAAAATCATATTTTAAGAAATGCAAAATTAAATTGTATTTTAATATTTAATAGCCATAAATAATGTTTAAAACATTAGATTAAATTTATAGATATTAAAACCAATTACTTTGAAAATAATGTGACGTCATTCATTACATCATCCACAACATAAAATATCATACACAATAAAATTTTTATTTTAAATAAAAATGCAAAATTAAATTTTAGAAGTCATAAACAATATTTAAAACACAGAATTTATGCATAATAAAATGCATTATTTTTTAAATAAAATTACAACAAAGTATCGATTACCATAAATAACTTGTCCAGCAATGGTTTTACCATAAGTCGTATCGCTCGCCAAAAATCCGTGCAACCGTCTACCAAAGTAGCACCTTAAATTTTCAAATTTCTTTAAGTAGAGGACTTACAACACAATATCATCTTCCAGCAGGATGGGGCAGCACCACACTGCAGTTTGGAAGTGCAAAGGTTTTAGATAAAAAGTTCTTAGGGCGATGGATAGAAAGAAGAAGTTCAATACCATGGCCACCTAGATCTCCAGACATAACAAATTTGAACTTCTTATGGAGATACATTAAAAGCATTGTTTACCAACCTCCTATTTGTGACATTGATGAACTAAAAAGTTGAGTTACTGTAGCCACTCAGAGTGTTGATTCTTCATTGCTTCATAGAACATGGTGAGAAATCTTTTATACTTGATATGCTGCACATGATTAATGGTGTGCACATTAAAATCATAAAATAAAAGATTGAAAAAAAAACCTTTGATACTTTCTTTATGGAACATCAAAAACAGTAAGTGAAAATCTTTGTTTATCTGTAATTAATATTTGAAAGCGTAGCAGTACTTTTTGGACAGCCTTTATATTCACAACAGCCATCTGCTACAAATATAGATTTCAATTACACTCATGTCCATAAATTAAGGATAATGCAAAATCAAGCAAAGGAAGGGTTAGAAGCAAAACAAATTTGACTTATTTGTAAAGCTTATTTATTAAACAAAAGGTAAAGAGCAAAAAATATGCTACATGTTTGATATTATTAAAAATTAGCGATTTTTTCTCTCTGGACGAATTACAAAAAAAAAAAAAAAAAAAAAAAACCTATTTACAAAAAAACCCAATATTACATGGTTGGTATGATTGTTAATACATTGTATATCTCCCAGACGATGCAATACAGTCCGTACAATGCCTAGCATGCTGAGTATCAATTATCAATCTGATCATGGGAGATATTACACCACTCAAAACGCAATCTCTCCGAAGTTCTGGTACACATGTAGGAGGAGGTTGACGGCTCAACTCGTCGCCAGCATGTCCCTCACATGCTCTCTGGATTCAAGTCCGGTAAAATGCGGTTACAAAGCCGAAAACATCTCGGACGAAACACGCAAGCAAAAACGTCGTGCTATACAAACATCGCGGGAGAAAACATCGCATTTCTAAAACTGTCGTCGAAAATAAAGCGGTTCAAAACTTCGCAGTTTAAAAACAATCGTCGTCGAAATATCGTGGTAAAAAATAAAGTATCTACAAATCATCGCATGATGATAACATCGAGACATGCTTCTTTTCAGGCTTTAATAAATGTAAATGGATATTCCCATATGATTTGTGATCGCAAGATGGAAAGAAGGATAATTTTTACTTTCATACTTTTTATTAATTAACTAATAAATTTTTGCTGAGAAAATAAGAATGAAACTTAAGCATAGAAAATTAATGCAACTTATAGCACTTAATATTTTAAATAAACCGACATAGTTAACTAACAAGGCCATTAATAAATCATTTTTATAAAGTTTCTCCTGGTAATTTTTCATGAAAATTATAATCTATAATTTGCATTTAATTTTTTATGCTTAAGTTTTCCTTCTACTTTTTCAGCAAACTTTATTAGTTAAAAAATGTGAAAAAAAATTATCCTTCTTTACATACTGAACTCACAAATCATTATGGGAATATCCATTTACAGTAATTAAAACCTGAAAAAAGCATGTCTGCGAAGTTTTATCGTCATGCGATGATTTGTAGATACTTTATTTTTTACCACGATATTTTCGACGACGATGTTTTTAAACTGCGAAGTTTTTGAACTGCTTTATTTTCGACGACGATGTTTTGTAGCACGATGTTTTAGAACTGCGATGTTTTCTCCCACGATGTTTTGTAGCACGATGTTTTCGCCTTGCGTTGTTTTCTCCGCGATGTTTTTGCTGCGATGTTATCGGCGGACACCGAAAATGCTGGCCAGTCCATACGGGTGATATCCTCCGATTGAAGGCATTCGCTTACGATGTCTGCATGGTGAGGACAGGCATTGTCATCCATAAACCAATTGTGGCCCCATGGCGCCGCCCCGAAACAAATGTACATGTTGTTCCAAATACCGTTCCTCATTCGGCGTCTTAACTTAGGGGCGACCTGTGCTGTAACGTCTACTCACATTACCATCATCTTGGAATCGTTGTCAAAGCCGCCTGACACTCTGCCGCAATTCCAAGTTCGTCTGATACTTCCAGTTGGTACGCCCCATTCCAGACGCCGATAATTCTACGACGTAAAAATCATCCAAATGCGTCCGTGTGTCATAACTATTCGGTTATTGCACTGAATATTTATAAAGCACCTGCGAACGATTTTACATCTTTGCCTGTATTCTTTATATATCACTTCTCTTCTTACCTCTCGTCATTGTGACGTACCATCGGGTCATCTGTTACTTCCTGAAATTTGCATGATTCTTGAAGATGTGTGTAGTGATTTTACAGGTGATATATTTATTTTAGATTCGATTTCCGCGTGACTCCGAATTATCCTTAATTTATGGTCATGAGTGTAATTAAAATTTTTTTTTGTTGTAAACTGAAGTATTTTAAATATCAATTGGACAGATGGACACAATTTGCTGATACAAGTAATCCTCAACTAACAAGGTCTAAAAATTAAGATTAAAAATCAAAATCTCTTCATTTAAGTTTACTGGCATTATATGCATGCATTATGTTTGTATGCATAGTTAAAATATTGCTGCAACATGCAGATGACATAAATTATAAGTACTAGGAAGTAAGTAAAAAATAACTTACTTTTAATGCAGGAGGAGCATGTATTATATATTTAGGACTTTTCATACCTCTCAGAAACAAAAACTTTGGCAACATCACAATTGAAACTGTCATTTAAAAGAGCACTTTTTACAGTATCATTTTTACAGTGACATTTACAAGTGCAACTTTTAGAGTTTGTTGATGTAGAACTTTCCAAATCAACATCTAACTGTATTTCACTTTTCTGAAATACAGAGGCCCCAACGCAATTACTACAGCCATAAACATGACATTCACAGGAACATGATAAAACATTGAAACTGGTTTCAAAAGGTTGATATGGGTCTACTAATCTTTTGGGTGCTTGCTCATGGGTTTCACCGTTAGATTTGCAATTCACAGTTTCAATGAAATTGTCACTGAAAATGTTAGGTTGAGAGCTTTCAAAATTTGATTCAAATGCTGCCCAATTTTGATCAGATGTAGAAAATGGCACATCAGGAAGAGAATTAGCACCATCAGTTTCATTAAAGGGATCTGGATCTCTTGAATCAATTTTGTCAATCCTTTTATTTAATCTGGGACTATGAAGGCCTCTTTCACAAAAATCTGTCCAACTCTTCACTGATGACTTTTTTGGACTTTTAACACGTACAGTAAATTGTTCCCCTGGTAAAGAGAGCTTGATTTTTGAAATTGTAGAGTCCATTGTGGGAGATACTGACTGGATAAATGCTTCTAAGGGAGCAACATTGATGGGTGTAGTACTACGAGGTCTATCAATGGGCTTTGTTGTAATTTCCAACCTTTGCTGCCTAGATGGGATAATAACTTGCTTTGGAACTTCAAATACAAATGGCTGTAATTCAATTACAGAATCTTCATCTATTTCAGATAAATCATGTGTTAACAGATTTTCAGCTTCAAAATCATCATCCTTTTTTTCAGGTTCAGTTTCTTTTAACTCAAATGTTAATTCCGATTCTGATGATTCATGACTCTCCTCAACAACATCCTGAACATTTTTGTTCTCAGGTACATTAGCTATAACTTTTTCTTCAACTGGTCGTGACAGAATATTGTACTCCTTCTCAAATGACTTTTCATTTATATTTTTTTCGCTAATATTAATCAATTTACGATTAAGTCTACGCTCATCAGGTATTTTATCTCTATGCTCCGAATTTACTTTTCCCAAATCATTTTGAGCTTCCTTAGCTATATGCCTCGATTCTGTTTCTTTTGGCAATTCATTTTCTTTTCCTTTAGAAATAAATTCATTTTCTTTTCCTTTAGAAATAACCCCATTGTTTAGTTTTACTGTTCCTTTTTCAAGTAAATCTCGATGTTGTTCTGAAATATTCAGTTTCTCCCCGTGAAAGAAATTTTCAGGTGGTGATGGAGAATTAATATTTTTCTTACTTTTCTTTTTGAAAAGTGATAAAAATTTATCTTTTTCTTTGGGCTTAGACTCTGTTGACTCTTTTTTATAACTTTCACTTTTAGACTTTTTCAATGTCTTTTCAGAAGGAACAGAAGAATCCCGTTGAGATAATACAGAACTACTACTTTTGGCACTGTTTTGATTATGGCTTTTAAAAATATCAGTCCATGAGCTCTTCCTCTGATTGTATTCCGATTCTGCAGCTCCAATTGTTCCTAATGATAAAGCAGATCCTTTCTTTTGTTTAATACTCAACACAGAATCCTCCTTAGACAATGATGACAAAGAAGAAGTCCTTAACTCATTAGAGGATTGTGTTTGATAAGGTTCACCAGGTGTTAATGTAAAATGTGAATCAAAATCACTCTCTATATGTGGTGTAGATTGGGATGAAATCGTTAAGGAATCAGGAGTATTAAATTGAAGATCTCTACTCCCCGATTCATCATCAAACACACTAGGTGTATAAATTTTCACTTGAGATATATCTTCAGGACTCTCAAGTTCATCAGATGGCAAGTCTTCAAAAGATGCCAATGGTGCAGGCCCAGCTTTAATTTGCCTAGAAGCATAACTAGCCCTTTTTATAGCATCCATTACTTAGTTTTGAAGATAACACTCAGAAATTACTCACATTATTTGCAACTAATGCAGCAGATTTCATCCAGCAATTTTCTGCATGACGATAAAAAGAAACCTGAAAAATTAAATATGCAGTACGTTAAATGGGGAAAAAGTTATTGCAACTGTTAACAAAGGTTGTTAAATTTTCAAGTTATATAAAAACATTCCTATTTCATAAGAACACACAATCTGAGAAAAATTTAATTTACATACACTACAATGTGCACAAGACATAAATACTAGCAGTCTACACTATGATTGTATAGCTAGGTAGCACAGTACAAAGTCCAAGATCTGGACGTTCAATATCCAGATTAATCTAAAATCCAGATCTCAAAGCCACCAATAACTTTTTTCTTTTCTTTTCTGTTTTTTGTATGCTTTACATATGCACTTAACCCTTTGCGGCCCACTGTGTCCAGTCTAGACACACCTAAAAATTTCCTTCTGTAAACACAGAAAAATTAAATAGAAAAGGATTTATAGGTTACTCTGAATTATCTTTATTTATAGTAGATGGCAGATCAACACAAACTAGTCCATATATTTTAGCCATGTTTAGTTTTTTAAGAACCTCATTTCTTCAAAGAAATCTTCCAGATTTTTTTTAGGGTATAAAAGGAATTATTTGAAAAGAAGTTTCTATGTTATTTTTTTGGCTGTATGCTAATCTCCTTATTCTATATTATTTTAAATTTTTACCTTGAAATCTTGCTTAAAATCAACGGCGAACCCTAGGGCCCGACCGGCTCACCGATATTTGAGGACAAATGAGTTTGTATTCTTTGTTTCTCCACATCTCATCGGTCAGTTCATTGACAACAATGCTCGGTTCAGCACTCTTTTCGAAGCTCTATTCATTCAGTGTGCCACTTTGGGCACACCCACAGAATTAAAACAATAAGTGTTATCTTCACAAAATTTTAATTGTGTACTCCTCGAGGCCTAATTAGACTGCCTACCTTTTATTTATTTTTTTTAATCAAAAATACGACTTTAGAAGGTAGCGTGCTGGAAAGGGTTAATAAAACATGTGGAGAGTCCCAATTTTTAATTTTGTTTCAACATTAAATAAAATACCTCATTATTGAAGAAACAAACATTTTTAGCATAAATTTGTATGATCAATAATTTGGCTCTGTAGATACGCTTCTGCTTGGCATACATCTCAAACTGAAACAATCTACATAGATACGTTGTTGATTTTACACTTACTAATATTTTATAGCCCTGACGCCAACCTGGCAACTCCTCATTTATTATTTTTTTAATTTCATCACCACATTTTTATCAACACATGACACCTTGAGTAATGACTCATGCAGCGATGCCTAAACAATTGTTTTTATATTAGTAATTGAATAACAAAGAGTATGGTAACCTTTTATGTTGACATTACACTTGGCGATGATTACAGATTTAAGTTAAATGCATTATAAAATGTTGACGAGGAAAAATTTAACAAAAATTCTTTTCCATATGCTAAACATAGATTTTGTTAATGATACCCCTAGGCCATTTAGTGCTATTTGAATTAAGAGTAACTGAACTGTTATTTACATAAACATAGAGACCATGCTGGCGGCAGAATTTAGGGAAGACAAAATTTTTGGAATTTAGAGAAGCATCAAGCAACAAAATTAAGGGATGACAAAATTTTTAAAAACTTATTTTCCTTCCTTGGTTTTAGACAACCGTATTGTCATTTACAAAATTATATTTGAACAAACCGATAAAGATTTTAAACTTACACATACCATAAGTAGATTAAAAGATTAGAATGACAATTTATTATAACACTGCAAAATTTTAGCTAAAACTCAGCAAACCAAAAAATTCTAACTATTGGGTTATTAATGGTATGATTTTATTTGAAGAATTAGGTACTTACAGAAAATCCCATCAACCACAAGAGACAGCACCAATCATGCCAAACGAAAGAAACACATTCACTAAATGCAAGAAAAAAACGTTCTCTTCTTATTTTTCTTTCAAATTAATTATATTATCATTTATTTATATTTAATTTTTCATTAAAAATTTCCATTATTTTTTATTAAGGAGGTATACTGTAAAAGCAATTATTTAATGTTATGGAATAACTTTGAAAATATTCAACAGCATGCTCTTCTGTAGTAGGCAGGTCCTAAATTTTATTTTATTTATTTATTTATTTTTGAAAATGCGCTATAGAGGGGGAAAAAAGGAGTCTTTACTCAAGAATAATAATTAACACATGTAATCAAGGTTACACCAAACCCAGCATGTCTGAAGAAGACTTTTCCATTTTTTTGTGAAAAATTGCATAGTTTGGAGTCTTTTCTTTAATAAGCAAAAATAAAAATGGTTGACGGGATTTTCCGTAAGTAGCAAGAATTAAAGAAATTGAGAGAAGTGTAAAAGGTTTTTCTCACAATGTTTTAAACTATACATATGAAATAAATTAACGGGCATGTTTCAAATACAGTCAAAAGTCTTTAATCCGGACTCGTCGGGACTTCAGAGATTCCGGATTATCGGTTTTTCCGGATTATAGATCATCAATTTAAATCTGGTAAGATGGCATGCAGAAATTATAAAATTAAAAATATGAAACCGTAATTTATGAAATAAAAGCAATTATTAGGCAATTAAAGCAATTAAAGGGTATCAAAATTTACACAAAAAAAAGCTTAATAGTTGTTTACTTTATTAAACATTTCTTTCAACGCGTGCATGCGTAAAACATACATTACGCATAATCGAAATTAGAAAATTGCAACCAAAAAACTATTTGACGTGTATTCGTGATATTTATAATGACGAGGAATTTGATTTAAATCATATCAAAGATGGAGTACATCGAGATGAAATACTATATTTAGTAAGAAATTATAAGCCGAAAAAACATCTGCATCTGCCCTGAAGATAAGGATAGTGCTGACAGATCAACTTCAAGTTCATTGCACGCAGCAACGTTCACCCCCTCTGGCAGAGCAGCGTGAAATTGATAAACAGATTTAGGAATGGTTAGAGAAACAAATCACCTCTCTGTCACACTTTCTTCACGCCTTTATCCAGTTTTTGCAGCAATTCCACTTTTTGTTTGATGGAGATCGAAACATGCTTTCGCTTTGTAGATCCTTTGGCAGCTCCAGACTCGGAAATTCTTTTTGACATAATTGAAAGTTTAAGCTTACTTTTATAAAATTGCTCTAACAGTCTGCAAAAAAATAATAAGCCGGATCCAATTCGAAGATTAAGGAATAACGCAATCTGCAACATTAACTGAAATAGATAATTAGATAATTTTAGCTTAGCTTATACTGTCCGTTATACATTAAACGCGCATGCGTAAACGTATTATGCGCATGTGTAAACGCATTAATGCGTTTACGGATGCACAGAAAGTTTGTAACTTTGAGGTCCGGATTATAGATCTTTCCGGATTATGGATGTCCAGTTTAAAGACTTTTGACTGTACTGTTATGGGAATGCATGTTTATTGAATGCTGTTTGTGTAGTTGCTTCTGAGGAAAAACCTTTTTCAAACTTGAAATTAACAGCAAATTATACGAGATCAGCAATATCAGAGAGAGAATATTAGTAAGAATGCCTTACTAATTTGTCAATATCACTAGAAAATGATACTGTCAATACTTCAAATATTAAAAAAAAAAAAACTTGAATAGAAATTTGGTAGCAGTTTAAAAGCAGCAGAAGAAAATTTATGCATATAAATGAATACAAAATGTTTCATAGTTTTGAAATCATTTAAATAATTTAAGAATTCTTTAGATAATTTATTTTATGTATACATAGGTGTAATTTATATTTCTGGTGGGCTGGCGGCAGGCAGTGCTTCTGACTTCTTATAATAATTAGTACATTTGTGAGGTTGTGTCATACTTACTGCATTTTTAAACTTGAAACATATTTAGTACATTTACGAGAAGCTCTTTACAGTATATATATTTCATGGATGGCATAGAACAGTTATTGAAAAACATTATAGTCCTCGTGATGTGAGGATCCTGATAACGAGGGTCTCTCTAGTCGAGAGTTCAAGAGCATTCTGACATGTTGTTCCGATGGAAAAAATCTACAGACTGAATTAGCCATGCCACCTTAATTTTTCAATAGTATTTTAAATCTTCTGATTTGTTATATCTGAAATGATATCAGAGGAAAAACAAGATCAATGGTTCTTCATCCCTCCTGAAATCAAGAGTCTGCGATGCCAGAACCATATCCTGTGACACTTCGTAAAAGCTTTGAAACAGTGACTTGCGGGGACCGCACATATGATTTTCTCAACTCTGTGGTTTGATGCATATTCAATAAAAATAAATAAATAGAAATTTCTTGACACTAATTTCATTTTAATTTTCAAATTACTATATTTTATGGAGATGCTGAAATACAACTAGAAGAAAGGCAGAAGGGCACCCAGTGTTCACCTTAGACCATTGGCCGCCCACGTGCGAAACAGCAAATGCCAACTGTTCGTCCTTTTTTTATAGAAATGTATTATGCTCAATAATCATTGCGGTGCCCCTCGTGCTGTGCAATCTTGCCTCCTGCTAGGATTGGCTCTAAGGGCAACTAATACCACAAGATAACCTATTAAAACACTGGATGGATGGCTTTTTCAATGATATGAACTGTCTTTAAAAAGATATAAAGCACCTTGTAGCTGGAAGATACTGAAGTTATTAACAAGTTGCACGCAGCATTGATAATGGTCTCCTTTCCGTTCAGCTGGCAGTGATTAAGCACTGGGGAAAATGAACAGAGGATACTTTGTTTCACCTTCTTAGTTTACTTTTGGATGGAGAGAATAGTGCAGCCAATGCACATGTGCACGTATGGCAACATGGTGTCATCACTGGAATATACACCAGGAACTTGATAACAGGTGTGGCATAACTGCTAATGAAACCAATCACCAAAACCCAAAAGACAAAAAAAAAGTTTTATCCAAAAGACAAAGCCAAATATTGTGCCTCTTGCAAGTCCCTAACAGAGGCAAAATAATAAATAAATAAATAATTCTTAATAAATTAAAAATAAATAAGTATTAATAAACTTCATTTAAATTACTGCATTTATTTTTTAACTTCATTATTCATCCCTAGAGGGTGAAGCCTTCCAAACAGAAAGTTCACTGTTGATCTCCAGCGACTGACCACGTTCAGCATGCACTTATTTGTTACGTCTTTTGTTGATAACATCAACTTTATAAGGTGATTTCTATGGATGAAACAGCAATGCTTATGGCTCAAAGATCTCAAATGGTAATTGCCAATCTACATTCCCTCTACCAGTAAGAAGTGCATGTTACCGATAGTAAGCAGTTCTTCTAAATGGAAAGAAAGCCCCACCTCCACTCTATGGCAAGAAAGACAAGACTGAAGGTATTTCAGGCATTATGTTCTTATGCACATTTCAAGCATTTATGTTCTTATGCACATTTCAGGCATTTATGCATACTTTAAACTGATAAAGCCTGATTGGCATAAGCTACCATAAGAAAGTGAGCTAATATAATGCTACCATTTGTTTTGAAAGGTAGCCAAAGAAGCAGGGCTGTGGAGTTGGAGGGAAAAAACTGACTCCTGAAATTTTAATGACTCAGACTCCCTCATATATATATATAGTATAAAGTCCATAATCATATATACAGTACAAAGTCCATAATCCAGACTCGTCGGGACTTCGGTGATTCCGGATTAGGGGTTTTTCCGGACTATAGATTATCAATTTAAATCTGGTAAGATGGCAAGCAGAAATTATACAATTAAAATCTTTGCACTCGGTCAAAAATTTGGAGACGTTCTTCATTTAATTACTCCCAGCTGAGTGCTTGACCCTTTTGAAAGTAGACCCATAAATTAAGGCGAATGCATACAATTATAGGATCAATTTAATGAACTATCCATAAATGAGAATTTGAAATCAATGTTTGAAAAAGCATACTACAAATTTTCATTACAAAAGCGATAACAAAATTTAATCTACTGAGTTGCTGGGTGGCAGAATTTAGGAGAGATAGAGGTTATAGCATGCAGCAAAAAGTCTACGGCTGACCCTGATCACAGCCGAAATAAAAATAAGATTACCAGCATTTAATGCTTTTTGCCTATTTAACATTACAAAAATTATGATAAAGTTCTTCCTTTTCATATAATAAAATGAAGAATTTCATAAATTTTTCCTAAAATATATATTTTATTAAGTTAGATTTAAAGAATCAACCTGAAATTTTACTGGACATTTTTTTAATAATTCAATCACTGATAAGGGAAGAAAAATTACACTTAAGTTACATTATTTAGTGTTATTTAAATTATTATTTGTTCAAATGAACTATATCTTTATGGATTTCCAAACTGATTTTTAAGAGAATCTTAAACTTTAAAATAATCATATTACAGTAATGAAAAAATTATCAGACACTTATATAAAACCAGCAATTTAAAATATTACACTAAAAGTTTTCATATACCATACTATTAAATCAGTTTCTGAACAGTAAAATATTTCAAGCTAGAATATAGAGGACAAACATAAATCTTTTTTTGTACTTGTATGAACTTAAAATTCTTTATATCACTTCCCAATTCAACATACAAAATTATCCATAACCTAACTAAATCATTCCATTTGACAAAACAAATGCTATTAAAATGTTAACTTGCTGGTAATTCTCTTTTTCTCATTTAGTAATTATAAAATTTTAAAGATTTTCAGCAAATTACTTAAATGCATAGTTATAAAAAAATCTCATTTTACATCGAAAATGAAACATTCAACATTCACAGCGCAGAACGCATCTGTTCTTAAACCAGTTATTAAACAAAACATTTTGCTAACATTTTTAAATGTTATATTATGTAATTTTCTTAAAATTTAACATTTCATATTAATTTTTAAAAATATGCATTTGAAACTTAGTATATTATACTAAACACTCATAGATAAAGCAGCAAAGAATCAATAATTATTAGAAAAATACAAGAGAATTCAATGAAAATTAAATTTTTAATAAGGAAATGGTATTTGTATTTTTTGCATAGATATAAAATCTTTTAAATTACTGCAAATGCTTGATCATATTTAACCACAGTTTGAATCAAATTTTAAAGCCTGTTTCAGAAGATTACATGTTATGATACTGTTAAGTCTTCAGAATTTATGAACTAAATTTCACATTCGGATTTTCCGAACATCCATAACATAATTTTCACCGAACCAGGCCTTCCAGCCATCGTAAATAAAAGCCAGAAGGAACTACCAGTCTTCCTCAGCTTTGGTACCTTGGTTAAAGATGGGTTCTTTGCATTTTCAAGACAAAAATGTTAGTTCAAAGTTCAAACCTTGCATTATATTCTATTTCATATTATAGACATATAACCAATAAATATAAAATTTGCTCAAAACTCATTACAGACAATAACATAAACGCATAAATTAAATTGACAGCAAACTACTGTTAATTACATCACCCAGGAAAACTAAGATAAATTAAACTACCCAATCAATAAAAAAACACACAAAAAAGTCAGTGTTACATCAAAAGTGGAATTAAAGAAACAATTTTTTTTCTATTTGTTTTGAGACAAATATTTACAATCAAAACATATATTAATGTAGCAGTTTGGTCATATATGTACAAATCATTCCATTCCTTTATAAAAAGTAACTGATATTTCAACTTAAAAATAACTCAAAACAAATGTCAAAAAGTTACCAAAACGCAAAGCATTTTAATAACTGCATCATGTGCGCAAAACATTGAGTTGTCATGATTTAAAATTTTAAACCAAAAATTAGAGGCCCTCGAAGTACGTACATAAAACAAAACAATTAGGCAATTCAAAAGAAATCCAATTTTGTTTTACTGGGAAGAGAAGGTTCAAATGTAAATGCAATACAGAGTTTTCTTTACAGCTACACATGGGCTAAGAATCGTTCGGGAAAGCACTTTCTGCAGTCCTTCGAATTTTCCCTCAGACAGACATTCTCCCGATTCGTTCGACTATGCAGTCGCGGCTAAGAGACCTTTGAAAAATGTATACATAAACCTCTCTTTCAGAATATGAAGAATAGCAGATAATAATAGCATTTTCTGATTCCATTTGATTGCATGAAGTTGGATCAAAATTAGCACTTTTCTCGAATTTCAACAAAAATCCCCTCCCCCCAAATTGATAAATGTGCAAAGCTTAAAATTTAAGTGTTTGTTTAATTGAAATTAGGAATTGAATTTTTTCAAATTTTAAAATATCTCAGAAAGTGCTTTAAAAAGAAAAAGTTGAGATATTATTTGCATCAAGTACCAAACTGCTGAAAGGAGTTCAATGACATTGCTATAGCAAACTAAAAATATGTGAGTTTCCGTTTTAGTACTTAAGCTCAGCTTAGTAAAACTTTAGTAAAACTTAAGCTCAACTATTCAGCATACTATAAAGTAAAATAACTTCCTTTCCCATTCTTGAAACATTTTTGCATTGATTCTTTAATAAATTATGATAATATTGCAACGAAATCAGAAATATTTGTTCTTAAGAAAAACCTGAAAATTGCACCCAACTGATGGCTAATAAAACGTAAACAAGTCCTTGAAAAATATAGAAACATCATTTTAAAGTCTTTAATGTTATACAATACATATGCATTTTTGAACTGAGAAACATGACCGCCGTTTGTAAGAAACGTTTGTAAGACGTTTAATTTTAGGATAGTGGAGAAAACTGCGAACACTCTTCCTATTCTTAGATCATAATTTAAGGGCTTCCAACACAGGCGTTGAATGGTGTAATCACCAGAGTACTCGGACACAGGGTCCAGCCTCTTACGAAACTTATTGTAAAATTTTTAACTATTCACAAGTCCGAATGCTATAAAGCAGTAAATTTCAAAACTACGTTATGGCTATGATAGTTCAATCACATGATAACATTTCAAAGGATACTGTTACATATTAGTTACATACGTAAGTGCAACTGTATTTATTATTACGCCATTGCTGCAACGACATTTTGCCTTCTACAACCTTCATTATTTGTTTTTAACTCAAGAAATTGCCTGACTCTTCAAAATTTCTACAATATTTATATTCACGATAATTGCTTATTATGCCAATGCCCAGATTACCTTCATCGCTCAGCACGACATTATGCCTTACTAACTACGTTAATTGCATTAGCTCAGTTAGTCTTCTTCACTTCAGATTTTCTACAATAATTGCTTACACGATATTTATTGCTTCATTTTGCCATTGTTTCAACTCATTGCTTATCTCTTGTACTAAGAGCGTAAAATTCTTCCGAATGCGGATGATGATCAGGATGCCTATTCAGGGTATGATATATATTAGTAAAGGCCCTTATTAGTGCCGAATACTAATTACTAGGATTAGGATATGGACACGGACATGGATCTATTATTATTATTAAACGTAACTGTAGACTATTAGAGTAGCAATGTAGAATAAATGATGTCTCTGTTCATCTCCTAATCATCATTGACCACTTATCCAACATATAAAAATTATACAGATATGAAGAAATGGAAACTAAACTAGCTGGTGAGGAAACATAGGTAAAGTTCATCAGTCCGTTATTCTCTGCTGAGGGTTCAATCCGGATTGGACTGGATCGGACCGGAGTGGAACAGACTGACTATGGGACCTTACGGAGCCGGATTTGGTCCAGGTCTAACTGGATGGAGCCGTATCGGACCGAATCTAACCAGACCAGATTAGACGATATCGGAGGAGATTGAACCGGATTGGAGCCGATTAGACCAGACCGAACCGGACTGAACCGAATCGGACTCGATTGGACCGGGTTAAACTGGATCGGTCAAGATTGGACTGGATCGGAACAGATTGGATCGCACCACACCTATCTGTCCCGACAGGAGTGTAGAGCAGAGTATAGTATAACAAAGTTCAAAACAGTATAAATATACTATAAAAAATGAGACAAACTAGTTCGCCGTTATTTTGTCAAAAGATTTGTCTTGCTCGGAAATTTTACACATATTGTTTTATTTCTTGACTCATTACTTGTTTACGTTTTGTTTAAGATCAAGTAAGCTACATTTATTAATTAATTATGCATGTTATAATTATTTGAAATATATATATTAATCTGAAAGTGTAATATTTGGCCTCTTTTGAATTAGAAAGTGTAACCAACAAAAATGTAGCGCAGGTAACAAACTTTAGATTTTAGGTTAGAAATAAATACAAATTTTGAATTTGCAGCGGCAGCGCCAAACAGGCGATACAAACTCCAAAACTCTAGCGAAACCGCCAATTGGCGAAACAGTAAATAAACAAACTAAACTTGTATGGCAACCTTACGGGCTGACGGGGAGCAAAGAATTTGTAAGGGAGAGCTGAATTTTCTCCGGCAGTCTGGTCCGAAGCTGTCTGGTCTGTGTTGCACTTGAGAGTCTTGTGTCTTCACCGTGAAATGTAAACTTCGGCATCCGTGTCTGTGTTAGGACTGTGCTCTTTCTTAAGCCATTATAATGTGGTCTGAAACTCATATATTGCATGCGGGTTACTTTTCTATGTTACTTTTCCTTATTAAATTTCATTATTAATTATAATTAAATTTCCTTATTAATTATTATGCCTATCTCAATTATGATTGTTGTTTTTCTAGGTAATGTTATCAATACTTTTGTAGGCACGTGTTACTCGCGCGCCTTTTGTAGGCATTTTTTTTCCATTCCGATATTATTAATTTTGTTTATGGATTTTGACAACTATTTATTAAGCGAAATTTTAAATTCATTCATTTATTTGAAATAATTTTATTTTGTTAGTAAAATTTTTCATTTTGTTAAAAAAATTCTGCTTCGTCAGCTGATCGTGCATGTGACCCGCATGCAATATATGAGTTTCAGACCACTTTCATTCTTCTTACCTTTGATTCGTTAAGCTATGTTTAAGATAAGAATGAATTCTTTAAAAAAATTTTCTGTCGGTGTACCAAAAAAGTTGCCTATAGCTAAGTTGCGTGATATGAAAAAAACATTTCTTATAAAAATATATGTTCGAGCGTTGCGTTCGAAATTTTTAAAGTAAGCGAAATTCTTATGCTTTTCGCGGACGTTGTATGATTTCTAATTTCAGTATTATCGAACAAATATATCGGAGACATCACAATAGTTAACTATAATTACTGGTAGATATCGAACAGATCCCTATAGAAATGTTGTTGTTAAATTATTTAAAACTATATATTGTTAACGTAAATATCTCAAGACAATTTTTTATAAAAACATTTATTTTTAATATTCTTAATTTCTGATAATTTTATTTTTTGAATTTTTAGGAAGCAGGAATTGAATATATTTATCTTTTTAAAGGTTTTTATTCAAAAGAGTGCACAGTAGACTTGGTTTCTTTGGGGAAAATTCTGATATGATATATTTTGATAGGTGGATTGTCCTGATTAAGCTGTCTCTTGCGTCAGCACCACACCTCTTTTTTGTTGCGTCGTTCACAAAGTTGACTCATTGTTCTACAACCTATGTATGACAAGGGAAGCTTTGGAAATCCAGTTGCAGCGATGTGAAAGACTTTAATAACATTTTCATGTTCTCATCCGTAGTATTCCTTAATAGTGGGGAAGGAAAGATACTGCAACTGTGCTATGCAGCATCAAATCATGTTGACGTAATTCTAAGCTAAGTTTTGGAATGGTAAATTTCGGAAAGTCTTTCCCAGGGAAAGTGATCGAGCTTTCAACAATTGGCGTAGTTCTAGTTCTAGATACTTCTTCTTTCAAATACCATCATTGAAAGATACAATTTTCGTGATGAGGAAAGATAGTATTCTGCTGCATTTCTAGACTGATAACTTGCGGTAAATTTTGAGTTAGTCATCGTGATGTTCTGAAAAAATGCTTTCAAAACCCATCTTTAGACTCTCTTTCTGTTTCTGTGTAATTCATCAATAAGTTTTTTTCAGCTCGCGTATAGTCTCAAAACTCCAGAATTAACTCTAATTCGTCTAAAATCAGTAGGGTATTTAGGATACCGCTTTAATACTATAGGTGTGCCTTAAATAACCTACATTATGGCCACCTCCACAGTACAACATTTGGGAATTTCTGTTTTTTGTGCATGCAATCCATGCTTTTGTATCCTAAGGCACACTTCACGCATCGTGGTTTTTGCTTACATGTACCTGATGAATGGTGAAAATGCTGACAGTTTAACGCTGAACCAGATCTCGACCAGTCTGAGAGAGTTCAACAGAAATCTTAGAACACAGCAAATTAATTAGTTCATATATTCTTTCACAGCTGGGACACTGGGAGGTTATAATTGAAACAGGGCTTAGGCATCCTAACTTTATGTGAGGATCATGTGAGATCATTTATGATAAGATCATGTGAGGTTATTTCATTAACAATATCATGTAAGGGCTAGTTCGAGGGCAGTCTCCTGGCAACAACTTTAGCAAGTTTCTAATTGGCGTGGAAATAACATAATATTCGACGAGTTTTGAATTTAAACAATTTGTTATACAGTGATGTATACTGCGATCGTTAGGCATAACTGTAAGGGATTCACCTTTAAAAAGTCCTTGAAATTTCGTTTTATTGTCATTTTTTCAAAAGTTCAGAAATCAACATTTTGGTCTCCTCATAATAGGTTTAATCCTGGGGCAGGGCCCTCAGTTTCCATGATATTATTAACACGTAGATATTAAATTAGTAATGAGTAGGAATTGTAAGGTCTGACTAATTTAGCCGAACGAGTCGTATTTTCGGGCAGAGTCGTAGCTAGAGTTTTCAGCGCCCAGGGACAACTGAAGATTTCGCGCCTCCTACTGCTTGCCGAGGACGGAAAACATTTAATTCTAAAATGTCGTAACATCAGTTTGGCGCCCCTTGGATTCTGCGCCCGGTGACAGATGCCCCCCTTTAGCTACGCCCTTCTTTTCGGGGTACATAAAACTGCCATCATTGTCACTTGGGACTGAATTCGTAACATCATTAGACATGTATGTTAGAATTTTTTCTCTTAATATCGCATCAGAAATAGCTTCCAGGAGTGATACTGTCATAATATAACCTTTACATTTTCATGAGAGTTTATAACAGTATTATTCCACAAAACATTAGCATAATTACGGTTATTGAAATGATGACTTTTAAACTTGCTGTTATAATGACTGCTCATCGATATCTTCCATAACTTGCTTCATATCTTCTTTTTTAAAACCTTTTATTACTTGAAACATCTTAAATACGAAATAGTCCTATCATGGATGCTTGTAATCGTATCCAACTTTTCCAGCTTTCAGTACATATAGGGTGTATCAATACAACTGTGACAAACGTTCAGGAGAGATAAAGTACACCTAGATGATGGAAAATCACACAATAATGCATGGTCGGAAACGCTTTCTCGGCGCAGTAGTGACAACACAAAAAAGGACGGACACAAACAGTGAGCCAAAACGTGTTTTATTATGTTTAGCACAGCAGAAACCAACAAATAAGAATAAAAACAAACAACGATCGTTATTAAAGAAGGTCTTCGAAATTACGACCCATAACCGTGATGTAGACTTTACTTCTCCGGCGCACAGAGCTTAAATTGCGCCGGAGTCCAAAGCAGCCCGGCTCTGGTGCTTCTTAGCTTTTGGGATAAATCATAATTCTAGCCAGAGCGCACCGGAGGCCTAAATATGAGCCCACCCATATTTAAAAGTTTTATTCTCCAAAAAATACAAGGAATTTATGACAACGCTGATGGAACTGGACAGCTTCCTTCTAATGCGATTTAATAAGCGCCTATCGGAATTAAGTCCCACACCGCCCAATTAATCTACAATGTTGCGACTGCACAGAGCAAGGGGAGACAAGGTAGTACCAGTACAGTCCCTGCCGAGCCTTAATCTGTCTCGAAGAGCCCTCAGGCTTTCTGTGAAGTCTGTTATTGTGCCCCATGGTTGAGACTGCCTAAGTGCAGATCCTAACTAGTTTTTCCCAGGCATTCGCCTGAGTCAACCCCCGGGGGGAAGGAATTTATAACAGCGGGTAAATTTTTCTTTCCAACGCTAGTGTGTTCCCGCGGAAAAGAGCACCTGCAGAGTTTCTAAAATGATGTAACCAAAGACGGGAGGGGGAGATTAAAATTGTCACTTGCTACTTTTTTTCAGTTAAGCTTCGGATTTGATGAAAATTTGTGTATCTGTCATATTCCGCTTAACAGCTAGAATTATATTGCGAGGAGATAGTGTTTAAAAAATTTTGGATCTTCTCTTTTAGTTTTAATACCTACAGGTCGTCCGTTAAAATTTTTTCCATATTCTCTTATTGTTTGTAGCATTCTCTATATCTGCATTAGTAAAGCTTTAACCATTTTAACGTTTTTTATTGGTGTGCTGGAAAAAGTCTTTATTTATATCATCCCTTGAACTAGTACATTACATTTAGAGCTTAAATTAAACCGGAGAGCACTTGAGATATTTATTTCTTATGTGAAATTATAATTTCAGCCAAATAAGTCAAGGTTCAGTACTTTATTTTAATATTTAATTATGTACCATTTATTTTAATAACTTATTATATTCTTATATATCTCTTTACATTTTAAATTTTAATAATTTTAATTGTTCTAATGATAAATTATTTAATTTTAATAACTAATGTTAAATGTTTAATTATTAATTATATTACTAGTCATTTTATTTATTTATTTTCGTTCTTCTTTCCTGACAGTCTTCCAAAGGGCTCCGACACTTCTAATTTTAGAAATTAAACCCTACCGGCGTATGGAAGATCTGAATCACGAATGGAAGATGCATGACGCACGGTTCCTGCATAACGGCTGGGTCGTAATTTCGAACACCTTCTTAATGACGATCGTTGTCTCTTTATGTTAGTTTTTCTTTGCTGTACTTCGTATAATAAACATGTTTTCTCACCCCGTTCTTGTCTTTTCTTTCTTGATTTTTGTGGCATCACTACCGCGCTAGGAAAGTGTTTCCGATCATGCATTGTTATGTGATTTGTCATCGTCTATAACCCTCCTGAATGTATGTCACTGCTGTACTGATACACCCTGTATAAATCTATATATATAAAGAAGAATGTCTGTTTGTGTGTTTGTTGCGATACACTGAGTCACTACTATAGCTATCGTCACCAAACTTTCTACAGTTCGTTTTGGGTCCTGGGAAAGATCGACGCCCACTTTTTCCACAAAAAAATTCAGTATACATATATTTTACGCGAATTTTAAGAACTTCTGATTAAGAACTCAGTGATTGCCCCTCTGCAATCACTGAGCTTTACATTGCCACTCTGCAAAAGCGTAAGATATATATGCTTCATATTTAATCAGAATACTCGGCGATATAAAAAAATTCCGTTGCCAGTCGGGAAAACGCAATAATATTAATTTATCTCGCAGTTAATTAAAAAAAAACTCGGCCATTTAAGAAAAATCTGTTCCACTGCCCAAATTAAAATATTTCAGCGCGTGTTATCGTTCAGCAAAGCGTAAAATATTTAATTTTTCACGCAATAACACGTACGCATCAATTATGCGTGTCATTACATCACATGCATTTTCTTTGCTTTTGAAGGTGAATTTGTAATAGTCGTCACAAAGCGTTACTTTTGCTGTGAAATCAAGTGTGCCTCTAGAGCGAAAATCGGTTGCTCAATTTACTCCTTAAGCACGATAAGAAAAGGCATCACGAGTTTCAGAAACAACGGCAACGGGAAGCATGACTGGAAAACGTTCGAGTATGTACTGCTCTTGAGCAGTTCATATGGAACAAACGAGCAAGGTGAAGCAAGATTGGAAAATATTCGAATGAGCAGTGCTTGATCTAGACAAACACTGCACGCTGATTTAAATCATGGTGCATTCTATTACGATGCTAATTATGATTGCAGTCTTCATAAAAGTGTGGTCGTTGGAAGGATCTATAAATTATAATGTATTGCAGATCCCTCGAATTTAAGAATGAAGCATCGGTAATGTGGCTATGTGGATAGAAAAGTGAATTTGCCCGCATCAGATGGGAAACAAATATTGTGTATACAAAAGCATTTCAACAAACAGAATTAAAACACAAACACTTTCTTTCCTTTAAGTAACACTACAACGCATGGTTATTATTCGCCGAATAAATCCAGCTTCAACAAAAATAAAACTTATTATGACGAAAAAAAAGTACCGTTGCTACATCGTTCTTGAACTTAAATATCCATAACTGTTGCCATACGCAAATTACTAATTTATACAATAATAATAAATATAAATAATTTTATAATTATTTACGTACAAATATATGCGTCGAAGAAAAATTTAATAGATAAAGAGATTAGGTTGTCATTACTTATTCTCAAGTTTCGTCCACTTGGAAAATTCTCTTCGAAAAGTTAAAAAATGTTTCATAATTTGTAGATTTTTAGTTTAATTTAAAGTAGCTTATTTAATAATTAATTCAACTTGTTAGAACTATTTTAAATAAATGTCAGTAAGAAAATTTAATATTTAGGTAATCAGTATATTTGAAAAACTAAGAAGTGAAACCAACAAAAGTGTCTTGCAGTTGTCAATCTTCAGATTTCAGAGAGAAAATTAATAAAACTTTAAATTTTTTTCCTTTACGATATTAGTACTTACATGTTTGCTTTGATTAATTATTTAGTAAGTGAAGTTTAAGACGCATTTCAAATATTTTTTATTTTACTAAAAATTTTCATTTTGTTAAAAATTAAAATTGGCTCTTCAGCTCCACCAAATTAAACAGTAATTTATAATTTAAATACAAAAGACCAAACGCTAAATTATCCCTCACGATGCTGAGAGTTCACAGGTTTGCATTGTGACATAAATTTTGAAAATAAGTATACTTTAAGATTAATTTAAAAACATTTTCTCCAACAGGAAAAAACCTCAGAAGTTTTTCGCTAAATCAAGCTCAGTTACCATAACATTTGAATACGATACTCTCAAAAAGGAGCAAGTCTAAGAGCTACAGAAGTAGATCGGTAATTTGGACCGGTTCAAAATCATGTAACAAATTTTAATCTAGTATTAATGCAAGCCTTCATTGTATCACGTAATAACTTAACAAGTATTACACGTAATAATAAATAATCAATATCTTACCCAACCACGTGCAAACTTTTCCTTTTAATTGAATTTACAATATTTACCTTAAACTTTAGTCAGACCGCCTGTACTATGTGGAATGTGATATTTTGCACATCCGTTATTTACACAGTTTATATTCAGCTAGGCGGTAGCATGTTCCTTCTGTTACAAGCATTGAATAAACTGAATATAGAGGAAGTTTCAGGGCAAAACACAAGTTACCACAACTTTTCACGTAAGTTGGCTTGTATTAATTAATTCCATTTCTTTTATTTTTACATTTTAATTATTGTTTCAAGCTGGATGGATTTCTCTGCTAAATTCCAAAGCTTTACATCAGTGAAATATCCAGTACCCAGCTTTAAAAAAAATTTCGAAACGCAATAAGGTATAGAATTCTGACATGTACCACATGTTTAAAGATTTCAAAATTTTCAATTGTTATTTGTCAGCCCAGTAAACCCAATAAAAACGATGTATGAATAAAAGAAAGGCAGAAAAATAAGTTTGAGATTGCTACTAACACCAAACGTAACCGGCAGAACGGGAGACAAAAAAAGATCGATAACTATATGTTAGTAAAATATTAAACGAAATGTGATTTTAAGACAGAACCAAAAAAAAACAAAAAAAACAAAAATTTTTTTTTTTCTGCATTTACTAAGCTAAATGTAATTTTAAACTCAAATAACTTAAAATTTTGGTTACAGAATTTTTCAGAAACATAGCTTCAGGCTTTGATTGTAATGTATGATGACAGTAAGATAGCTAGGAAAAGTATGCCATTCGAAAAATTGTCGGTGCTCTTCTGTTATCGGAACCTGCTTCAGAATGTACGTATGGATAGATGTATTCATGTATGCATGTACATACTACGTATATCTACGTACTCATGTATGTGTGTATACACACTGTATGTGTGTATACATTGTATGTGCATGTGTGTATACATTGTATGTATGTGCGTATGTATGTATACACACACGCACATACATACACATGTTCATACACAAATTCATTTTTGAATCCGGACCTGATAATAGAGAAGTACCAATTTGTCTTATACATAACAGCGCCGGGGTAGGTCTTTGGTCGCTTGGTGCAGTCTCTGCGGTTCTGCCGCCTAGTGCAATCTTCATTGTTTTGATACCTGATGCTTCCCAAAAGTCCACGTATTTCTGTCGCCCCTGAATTCTGCCACTCAGTGCAGCAGCGTAGGTTGCACCGGCTCTGAGGCTGGCTGTGGTATTAATTGCCTCAAACTCCTCGCAGTTCCGAATGCTTCCACATGATTTATTGCACCGCTGCTACTGCGGATCCTTCATAAGGTATTCTTTTCTGCATTTTCATCCTTTAGAAGGTATTCTTTTCTGCATGTTTTCCGTTGTAAGTAATCATTTTCTGCACTTCCTACAATGAATAATAATTATCATGTGTTAAATCGCATCTCTGTGATTTCACAGCCAGAGGCATGCAATGGCACACGTTGTAACTGCAACTTGCTGCTATGTGTTAGCTTTATCTGGCAAAAGAATTTTGCGGGTGCAAAACAAGACATCTGTCTACTTTCTGAGTCTTTGTCTGTCTTCAGTGCAGTAAGAGGTATCTGCCTCTTTTAGCAACGAAGAAATGTAGTTCTTTCCTACAAGTTCTTTCCTTAGAACGGGAACTCACTATTTCTCTCTTTGTTTAAAATAACATACTACATTTACAAAATTTTATGTTTATTAATACATTTGCTTATTATTTTTACTTTACTGTGACATCCACTTTCGTTGGCTCCCACCGGGATGCAAATCAAGTAATTAAAATTTGAAAGATATATTAAAGATTTCTGAAAGGATTCATCTATTTTTACATGCTATTTGTCTTCTTTCTCTCTCTTTTTCCTGCGATGGAGATGCAGTGACAATTTTAAGCTATGTTGTCTTCTTTATGTCCGATTCCAAAGAAATGATATCGAAAAACCAACAAAGAAACAAATTATAAATGAATGCAAGATAGAAGGAGGAACTACAGAGAAATGTTTCAAGTTTGATAAAAATCTGCCATAAAAACATAAACCAATCATGTGAAACAGAAATTTAATTTTGAGCAACTAAATCTGGCTAATAGATGTCTATAAAAATGGAGCTTAGTAATCTTCTTTATGGACCATGAGACTGAATCAATGAACTCTCATATGTTGCCTTGGAATCATGTGGGCATACTGATTCATAAAAATTCATCTTCATTTTAATGCTTCGCACTCCCAGCTGGAGAGAGATCTAGAGTTTATTTCAGCTGGAGAACCGCGACATATCTTGGATAAGTTTGCCTGCTAATATTAGCTTGATGTGGTCGTGTGTTTTCACGCCCAAGTTATGCTATGAAGATAGAGTAGTGCAACGAGCTGCCTTACTTTATTAGCACATCGTTGTGTTTTCTGGCTCGCCACTTGTTCTTATATGTCGATACATATTACATATCTGTTGATTTGCGATTAAATTTTGAGGGTGGCTATAAAAATGAAGTACCAAATGATTGCGTATATTTTTAATGTGAAAATGTATTTTATGTCAGCTTTTATATAAACAGATGCTCATCTGTTATACCTGAGTTTTCCTGTGGTTAGCAGAAAGTCGAGTTTTCTAAAAGTAAGATAATATAGGATTAGCTTTAAAAGAAATAAATATATTAAATTCTTGTAAATCAAAAAGTGTTTCCTGTTATCAGGAAGTTTTCCGTATTGTTTTACAGAGAAAGACTTCAGTTTTACAACCTCCACTTTTTGTTTGCTTTCGTGATGTCAGCTCCACATGAGTGCTTTTAACGTCAGTCAAGCCACATAGGAGTGCGTGCTTGAATATCCAAAAACAAATTTAGTTGTTCTTATAGTAGACGCCGCTTTATATGATCGCGGTTAATGTTATTGTTCAGTCTGTTAGCGAATTTGCAAAGTCCTGGCCGTATGTATACGAAAACATGGGAAATACGTACATCGCTTACTGTGATTAATAATTCGGTTACCATTATCAAAATGTATTCAAACGTACAAATTTTTTTTTAGTTGAAGTGAATTCACCAAATAAGAAGTAAAAACTTTAAATAAGGTCAAAATAGATTATAAAAAATAGCCAAATGACATAGAAATGTTGCCAAATGAGGGATTAAAGTCGCGAAACAGCTTAGTTTCGATTTTAGTCAATCACAGAAAATTAGGCAAGAAAGCAACCTTTGTTGGCATAGATTTTGAATAAGTCTATCAATTTTGAGGGTGAAGTGGTACCTCTTCTTGAGGAGTAAAAACATTTTTGCAGAATTTTTGTTTCGCCCTGCTCCTGGTTAAAAAAATTCCTTGAAAATACCTTGGCTGAATAGGATTTTTTTTCCCTAATTTTAAATTTTACATTAGCATGTTTCCTTTTGAATTAGTGATGCCTTCCGAATATTAAGTTTACTGATCTAGCATCACTCATTTCCAGAAATGTTGTTAACAGTTCATAAATGAATTTTTACAGTAAGGACAATTATGAACAATTCATAACAATTTTTTTATATTCTCCTAATTGAAATAGTGTGAAAGAACTTTTTTAATATGTTTCCATTTAAATTTTTATTAACTCAATTAAATTCCATTGCTATTTTGAAGCAGACTTTTATATCAGAATATTTTCTCATCTCTTGATATTATTATCAAAACAGCCATGGACAAACATAATCACAATAAAGCGGCGTCTTCTGTATGCGGTATCGTTTTAGAACGCGGTATGGATGAATATCTGTCTTGCATTGGATTGAATATTCCACAGATCAGAACATGGCTCTAGCATTTTGGTCATCAAAGAGTCCGGATTTAACCCCGTGTGACTGTCTCTTGTGGAGATCTATAAAGGATGGATTTTGTGTTTTTGCTCTTCTGACAAGCTTGGGCTATCCTAAACAGTGCTTCACATCAACTGCTGCGGCAAAATGACCATATTGTGATGTGTATGGGAAGAACTTGAATATAGCATATTGTTGTACTACAACAGGTTCACACATAAAACATTTGCAATTTATTCTCTAAACTTTACGGTTTATTTTTCTAATTGTATAAATATTTAAACTGCATTATTAAAACTCTTATTTCAGAACAAGTTTGAAAGCGTTTGTTTCTTTTAAATTAACCCACTATGTGGAAAGCTTATTGTTGGTTTGCTGTCCTTCTGATAGCGTATTTAATGTATTGTAACAATAGCAGCCCAAACATTATATTAAGATCTACCCGATTACCATATCTCTTCTCAGACCCTTTCTCGGTAGTTCACTGTTGATTAGAACAGAATCGAGGTACATCGCTGATACCATAATATGCCATTTGTCATGTGAAGTACTTTCTTTACACAAGTTGGTTGCTTCTCATCGAAGCATGCTTGCACCAAATCATCGTAGTACCACTGCAAGCGGACGCGAAGATTGTTAAGTCGTAAAAAAGAACCTTATGCCTGCAAGTCTGTTCTCAGCAAACTTATAACGAACTATCACCGGTCAATATTAGAGCATTCAGTATATCTTTTAGTCCTAAAATTCGCTAGCTGTCAACTGTGGAGATGCTATGATATGAAGTTGCATGCATCAGTCTTTGTGTTGTGATGCTCCTGTACATACTCTAGTCTCAATATTACGATTCATTTTTCGTTTTTTAGTTCACTTTCTCCAAACTCTACTAAAATGTTTCATGTCTTTTCTCACAAAGACCAACTAATAATGCATAAACTTATAGCTATATCCCGAGCAAAATGGTTTGTTTGACGAAACTTTAGTCTGCGACGTCTTACAAGAATTTTCACTTTTCCGTAAAAACGTTAATCTTTCAGAAAGTCTTTTACGACTTTCTGAAGGCTTAGTTTGACTTCACAGAAAGGTTTTTTTGTTTTTTATTGCACTTTCAAATGGTGCTACTGACTGGAAATCGTAAAAATTAGCATAATCCTTCCCCTCTAAACAGACACCTGAAACAATAGTACTGTTGCAGAATTTTTAAGTAACTGAGGGGCTTGCAGCAAGAAGGTTCCAGCTACACTTTTGGTACACTCTGTGCTCATGAGAATTTTTTTTTAATTTACAAAAAAAAAAAAAAAAAAAAAAAAAAAAAAAACCTTCTTTGCATTGGAGTAAAAAGAAAGGGCTCAGCTCCAAGTAGTGGTTTCGGAAGATCTCAAGAGATGAAGGTGATTATACAGTTGATAGGAAACGCTACAGGGAAAGGTTTTGTTTACTTTCAGGCAGTGATGATTATTTTAAGTGTACAAGAACTGTATTTTTATTAAGGTTGTTGTGCTTTCCTATTTTCTCATAAGTGTGACAGAAGTTCAGATGATCCTGAACCTATCAGTTCAGGCTCATCTGATGAGTACTATCCAAGGACAATAACAACGAACTGCCAAAGAAGAAAAGACAGGTATTGAATCGAGATCTGTAGGGAAAAAACAAATGAAAAAGAGCCGTAATGAAGGTAAGAGTTATATTTCAACTAGAGGAAAAAATATTCCTCCTAGAAATACTGGTTCATAGAAAATGCAATTTTACTAGCAGAGATGCTGAAGAAACTGAAAGTGAATTCAACGATTAATAATGAAGAATACCCATATAGCCTTCGTTAAGTCAATGATTGTATGTAAATATTGACAAGAATACGTACTGAAATGAACATTCCCGAACTAAATGCTTGTATAATCCTTTTTTTTTCACATTATTTTGCTTTATATTATTTTTTCATATGTTATAAACGTTCTCTTTCGCTTGTTAATTAAACTTTCTATCACAGGCATTGTGGCTCTTAAATTTTTTTATCACCAAAAATGGACACTTTAATGATTACTGGGACAACAAGGGCTTAATTCCTAAATTCAAATAATAATATAGCCTGACTAAACACACATTCTGCTATAGTAATAGCCGTAAAATTATTTTTACTAGCACTTTTAATGAGAAATGTTTAAAACATAAGTTAAAAAAATGAATTTTGGAAATTTTTAAAAAATTTTCCAAAAATTAAATTGGGCCCTTCAATTGTATTTTATCAAGAGATTAATGTAAATAATTGTTCGGGAATGTACTTTCAAATATTTATTATCAATGAATTGCATTTATGTAAGGTTTAAATAGCTTAAAGAATTTTACTGTGAATACTTGGTCAATCTTATAATCAAACATATTTATAAAAAAAATAATATGTAAAAATATTTAATATCGTATGTAAAAAAGTCTTCAAAGTTATCTAACTTATTGTAATTACATAAATCATAAATACACGGAAGCAAACATGATTATGACACACAAAAGGGACAGTTTTACATCTCCCGGTTCTACTGGACCGATTGTCGACATTTTAACTTCGCGTTTTCCATGTCTCGAAAGCGGGACGTAGGACATATATTAGATTTATATATAGCATTGCTCTAATATAGATATTTTGACACGAAATCTGACCTTTTCTGAAATGACATCCAATTTTTTTTCCATATTTCGATTCTACCACTCAAATTATGCCAAAGTGCCATGTTTTGTAAAAATCTCACGAATAGTTTTTGAACACAAAATTTTAGCACTTTGATGTTAATTGAATTTGGTATATATTTACTAATATCTCTTTTTTTTTATTAAACTTCTCTGATTCTTTCTTTCACATTTCGAAATTTAAATTCATTCCAAGTAAAATTCGCCCATTTTTTTATGATTTATTGTTAAATTTTGTATTTTTAAATAAATTTTATAAATATTTAAAAAAAATTGAATTATAACCTATAAAATTTTTAATATCATCTTAAAGTAGATTTATTTCTAGGCACACCTTCAAAAAATTATAGTTTGTATTCAAAATTTCCTAGGATATACGCGAATTTACATTATGGCGCGTTTTGAAGTTTGGCTTATTCGTTATAAGCGATAATAACGCTAAATGTGCTTTACGCACTTCTTTAAAATTATTTCAAAGTATGAACGATGACCTTTTTTCCGCTCCTTTACAATACAAAAACGGGAAGGAAAATAAGTTGCTATAATTTAAGAAGTTCGCTAAGTGAATTAATCTTCGCACAAGCTGAAAAAAATGCGGCAAATTTTTTTAAAAATTTTTCCATAAATTTCTCACCAAAAATTACAAAATTTAATATCTAGATATGATTTGAGTCGTAGAATCGAAATGTGGGAAAAAATTGGTATGTTATTTCAGAAAAAGCCCGAGTTTGTGTCAAAATACCTATGTTAGAATAATACTATATATAAATGTAATATATATGTATCCTAAATCGCGCTTTCGAGGCATGGAAAAAGCAAGTTAAATATGGACAATCGGGTGCTTTAAAATGATCCATGAAAATTATTGAAATGCTACAATTTTGCATGAAAATGAACGGCAAATCCAAAAACTGCGAGATACGATTAAATACTTTCTTTGAAAACAAGTAAATTCCTCTATACTAATGTCTTCCAATTTTGTTTCTAGGAATACAGAATATTTTGTTGCAGATTAATTTTACTGAAGAGCAAATTAACCATACGATTTGTCAATGGAATTCCAAAACAATGTTGAGCTTTATCAATCCAGAAATGAAAATAAACAGTGAAACTTGGACCTATTTTAACGCGTTCATATTTGCCTTTCATGTATGTTCCACGATAGGTAAAGTATTATTAACCAGGTTCTTAATTTTATGTCATATTTTCTGTGATGGTGTATAGCAAAATAATGTAATTCAAAGTTTCAGATCACCGAATATAAAAATTGATATTTAAAACATGGTAATTAATGCTTATTAAATGGCAATTAAAACAATGTTATCTTATTAAACTAAAGCTTTGATCAATAAAAACAGCAATCAATAAATTAAATTTTTTAAAAAAATCTGAAAGTTTCAGATTTTAAATTACGTCCAAAGGGGCGTTTTTTTAACATTTCGTCTGTTACCTTTATTTATTAAATATCATGTTGTTCGCACTTAAACCATAAAATTCAGTTCAAGAGCAGTATCGCAAAATATTCTTAAATTGAGCATATCTTTAGAATTTCCAATACGCAGTCTCTCGCGCTGGAGATAAAAATGTTTTTCCTGTTGCCATTGCTCGCTTTGAAATCTTTGAGTTTGTTAATCAAAAATTCGTTAAAGATTTACAAAATATGAAATCGGTAATAAAACAGATTCCGAATTTCAAATTTGGGCTTCCACATGCCCATATTCTCAGTAGAATTACGTCATTCAAAATTCGATAGCTCTATGCACCGTTGTTTTATCACAATGCGAAAAATATACATACATTTATGCAGATTTTTCATTATTTAATTTCTTCAAATATAATGCAGGACTCTGAATTTGGTGGCAATACTTTGAAAAGTGAAATGTACATTTATAGTGAACCAACGCAAAATCGCAAAACGAAAACAATAGTCCTTCAGAGACAAGAGAAAACAATAGTCCTTCAGAGGGATGACAAATAACAGTTTCAAGATAAGAAGAAATTAATTTTTAATAACTGTCTAGAGTCATTAGGTTATTTTGAAGCAGGAGACGTGAAAAATGTGCAGTGCTTTCGCCAGGAATCGGACCTCTCGAATACGCGCCGAGTATGCTACCGTTATACCACGAAGGCATGCTGAAAGGAGGGAGAAAGTGCCTTATTCACTCCCCCTTATAAAGGACCACTGGGGCTTAGGGGGCTCAATCGCTAAATCCTAGGGGCGATGAACTATCATCCACTACCTTTTAGTTGGGGCGTCATTTGTAAAGTCCTTTTTTCAGAATTTTTCTAAAGCCAGGAAACTGAAGAAATCCGCAGTGCACACGACGGGAGTCGAAACCTGGACCTTTCGAATAGGCATCGAGTCTGTTGCTGTTAAAGAGAACGATTTTTGATTCTGTTATGGTTGGATAGTTTGGATTGTTCCAATGCTGCAACAGCAAAATTCAACATATCCAGCCTGTAATTAAGATACAATATAACACGCCGAACAAGTATTAATTTAGAAGTCAAACAACAAATATCAGCGTTATATTTTCAAATTTTCACAGGACTAATTTCGATGGTTTTACCGAACCATCATCCTCAGCTTCAAAAGCGCAAATGCATATCTTTTCTCGTTCATTTGCGCTTTTGCAGCTGAGGATGATGGTTCGGCAAAACCATCGAAATGTCCTTGAAACTAAATTTGAAAATATAACGCTGATTTAAATTAATATCCAGCCTATTTTACATCACATCTAATTTAAAACAGACAGAAATGACAATAAATCATTAACGTTTGCAGCAATAACCTTGCTCTTCATTTTGTTTCCAACTTTCGGTAAAAAATTGCACTTATTAAAACTTAAAAAGTATGTCTATTTATTAAGTGCTTAGAGAAATACTTTTTCTTTATGATTTAAGATGCATGAAACGGAAAAAAGAAATGCTTTGAAATCGTGCCTTGCAGGTTATGGTGATGTAGCTCCTGCAACGAATTATGGACAGCTGCTCTGTATGCTGTATGCGATCATAGGCATACCCCTCAACATACTATTCTTCAAAACTTTGGGCGACGCTTATTCGGATGCTTATCAAGAGATTATCTGGAAGGTGAATAGTGATGATACTAACAAGAAAAAACAAGTACTGGCGCATCTTATTTTTTACATTCCCTGGGTTATAATTTTCATGGTGTTGCCATCAGTAGTATTCATGTACACCGAAGACTGGAATTTTCTGGATGGATTATATTACAGTTTCATTACTTTGACAACAGTAGGACTAGGAGATTATGTCGCAGGTAATATTTTGGTTCCTATTCTTACGTTGAAGTAAAGTTACATGTAATGCTGTACAAAAAAAAAAAAAAAAAAAAAAAAAAAAAAAAAAAAAACATGACGCTTATACGGCTCGTGTTTCATTAAGGAAATATCTGATGTGGACACCTTATGACTTCCATGTACTGCCTATTAAAATTTACACATTTTATTATGCTACACTTGATTTAAACTTATTTTATCAAATTTCGTTAGAGATGCATTTCTCATTCAATCAATTCATTTCTCATTTCGCGACAAGGCAAAAATACATAAAAACTCAGAACATCTTTATTAAAACTTATAAAATACAAAAAAAAAAAAAAAACCTAAAACACCATACGCACCATATAAAAAGCTGTTTTTGCAGTTAAAATTAAAGTTCCCACTCAAAAAAAAAAAAAAAAAAAAAGCAATTCAGCTAATGGGCAAGAAGACCAAATTTTCGGTTGAAAGAAAACAAAAACTGAAAGTTAAATTTGGATCCCACTCAGCAAAAAGACACTGAAGTTGGCCCACCTACTGACTTAATTTATTATTCTACTAAGATTTTCAAATATAAATAAATAGTGGCCTCGTTAGGCTTAACGCCACTTAAACTCTTAAATTGTTGATAATTCTACAACTATTGCATACAGACTAACTAAAGGTATAAAAACTTTAACCAGAACTTAATTAACTTATTGCATGCTTTTCTATGATTTAAGAGTTATTAATGACCTGTCCATAAAAAAATGTCTTAGTTATAAATTTTAATATTATCAACTGCAAGCATTATAGAGTGTTGGATCAAGGTCAGAATTAAAGAGTAACTCGAACAGTTTTAGATAAGCGCATGCGCGAGTACTGCTGTATTGTTTTCTCGGTTGCAGCGTCACGTAAGCAAAATGGCGACTCCTGAGCGTAAAGCGTTTTGTGTTCTGCATTTTGCTAAGAGTGAATCTAATTTCATTCAGTTCAGCGTGCGTTTCGTTTTAAATTTAATTGTGATTCCTGGTGTGGCAAAAATACCCGCCGATGGTAAACACTTCGAAACTACTGGATGTTTTTGTTAAGGGAAAAGCAAGGGAAGACCAAAAGAGTTTGTAGAGGATGTGGGAGTAGGGAGTCTGTAGAGGATGAACATATTATCTTCGTAGTAGTAAGAAATCTGTTCGGATATCAAGTCTTGAACTTCGGTTGCCAAACAAGGCAGTTTGGAAGGTTTTTAAGAAAACGTTTGCGCATGCGTCCTTACCGGTTACTGTTGGTACGTGCTTTAAAGATAGATGACTGAGGTGTACGTTTTAAAACTTTTCAAATGAAGTATTTAAGCGTGAAGATGACTTTCTTGATCGTGTGGTGTTCAGTGATGAGTTAATTTTTCGTCTGAGTAGGAAGGTTAATACTCATAATGTTCGTATCTGGGGGTCAAAGTGTGCTCATGAACTTGTAGAATACCAAAGAGATCACCCAAATTTAAACATTTTCTGCGCTGCGTTCCGACGTCAAGGGTACGAATCATTTAGTCTCACTGAAGCTATAACAGGGATGGTTTTTCTGGATATGTTACAATAACGGCTCTTTCCCCGTCTAGTACAGTGTGAATCTGTAACTTTATTTGGCAACAATATGGACCCCCTTCCCGTTGGAATATGTACGAGAGTGATTGAACATCGAAGTCTCTAACTATTGGATTGGTTGTAATGGTGGAGACAACAGAGTTCTTTTTCGTTGCCTCTACATTCACTTGACCTAATGCCAAGCGATTTTTGCATTTTAACTTTATAAAAGATCGTCTTTACGTTCCGCCGTTTCCTAATGATCTGCCAGAGTAGAAAACACAGAATTGAAGGAGGCCACTTTTTCCATTACTCTGAACTTCTTAACCAAAGTGCGGGAAGAATTCTACTACACGCTGGATGTGGGCCATAGAGCTAAAGGTGCACATATTGAACCATTTGGAAGAAAAGTTAGACTAGTTTCCCTTCCATTGATGCATGATTTGTTGTAAATAGTTTGAACTAAAGTTTTATAATATACCACTGACACTGGAACATTATTTATGGTTTGATTTGGTTTATATATCATTACGACAAAGCCTCGAGGGCTATTTGCCTAAGGGGAGGGATGCCTTCATAGAGAACTTCGTGGGGGAAAACCATGAAAACACCCATGCAGGTGGTCCGTTGTATATATATAAGTTTCTAAGAAATAAATATAAATTTTAGGACGATAGTGTAAAAAATAGAAATTTTTAAGAAGCGTTATTGTTAATTTGAGGAAGACTCTAAATCAGATATAATTTGGGACTGAATTTATATGCTTTAAATAATACAGAAGTTAAACTGAGAACATCTTCAGATTAGATTATAAAACCGGGGTTCGAATTGTTTTTTTTTTTTTTTTTTTTTTTTTTTTAATTCAGAATTTAATGTATGGCCTTTTTTCCCCCTCAGGTGAAAACTTGCCGACAAAAGTCTCCTACGTCTTCTACAGAATCGCTCTGCTTTGTTGGATGATGCATGGCCTAGCTTTTGTATCCATGGTAGTAGATTTCCTTGCCCATCAATACCAGAAAATTTGTCTATACAGGGTGAGCATCGCATGGGATAAGTTTCATCTCAGCATTCGACGCGTCTATATGGATATCGAAAAACTGGACATACATTTCAGACTTTTTAAAACAGAAGTAAGGTTCTGAATAGCTAACGAAATATACTGTTCTTCGTCTGTTGCTAATGAATAGTCTAAACATGCATCCTTAATGCAGTTCTTGAATCTTCAAAATATCACTCCTAAAATATTGTAAATTTAAATAACTTGGTTGTTTATTTATTAGAAGTTTGAAATTTATTATCGTTAAGTAATGCGTGCCAAAGCAACATTGTAGTCTAATCGTAATGAGCACGTATCTAGTACTTAAGTACTCTTCGGATGTATAAGAGATTCTATGTTTTTTTTTTTTGTTGAATTTTTAAATAAGACCTTTAATAACATTTGATGTAAAACATGTTGAAAATAGTCATTTGATACTTTGCAGTTCTGTTATGGCAGAACAATCAGCTATAAATGACTGTAGACAAGTTATAAAGGACATTTTGACATTAAGTCTAATTAAAATCGATAATAAATAATTCCTCTCTTTGGAGAAGTCTCTGGCAACCGTTGTTCCATGTAATATAGACAAGATAACAACAATAAATAAATAACTTTGATTCTAGTTCCCCCACGGGTTTAACTAAATTGTTAAGAATCATGTGAACACTCAGTATCATTTGATGCTCTCGATTTCATATCATTTAAGAAATCCTCATCATTTAAAGCCTTCAGTGTGAAACTTCAATTTTATTATTTTATTCTCAACAAGAGTAATTGCCAAAGATCAAGCAATTTTTTTCTACCTCAAATACAGGGTATTTCACATTGAATGGGACTAAAAGAAAGCATACCTGTGAATGTTGCCATTGCTTTCTTTTGATAAATCAAATTTACACGGAAACCATACTTAAGTTTCTAGAGATGTTTTATGTGCTCCTCTCCGGGGACACTGCAAATATCTATGCGGTATTCCAGTTCCTGCAACACTCTTGATAGATTACGCTTTGTTAATAATTCGAGCCCTTCCGCTGCTTCTGTTGCCATAAGTCCTCAGGAAATGAAGGCCCCAAAACTTTGTTTTTAACAAAACCTTATAGGAGAAAATCACAAGAGATTAGATCCGGGAATCTCAGTGGCCAACAAAGCACTGACATATCATTTCACCCAACACGGCCAACCCAGCGATGGGTACACTATCTTTGAAGTACTGGAGTGCATTTCTATGCCAATGCGGTGAAGTACGTTAATTTCCGTTTGTTTCCGTTTAATCAATTACAGAATTTTTTCTATGCTATTCTTTTTGTCCTTTCAATATGGAACACCCTGTATATTTCCCTTTTAAACCTCCCGTCTAAACTAGGTTTATTTTTAAGTATGTAGTCCAGCTGACTGCATGCAGCTCTCAATTGGTTGATGATTCTACTCTCATATAAGAATGCGAGCCACCTCTGTATTTTAGTTATTTCGAATAACGATTTTAAATTATCGATCATTATTAAGCACACACAAACACGTCAATATTTTTAAAACTTATTAACTCCTTTTTATAGTGTTTTAGCATTGATTTTCTGATATGACCTAGACTATACAAATGAAAAATTATTTTTATATTCCTTTTCTGCAAGTAATTTAAAATTATTTTAGCATTAACTTTTATTTAAAAAATAAGCTGTTTAGACAAGGGTCCTTTTTAAAATTTATTTTTTGAGTCGTTCTCCGTTACATATTTGAAACTTGACATATAACGTCAACACACTGTTATAAGTAAACACCTGTACCATATGTTATAAATATTAATATAATTGCAAAAGATGATTATGCTGACAGTGTTGCGACTGTAGCTTTGGAGCAGCTAGTTATAAATTGTGAATATAAGCAAACAACAACATCTGTATTGTAATGTGTTCTGAAATTGTCTGAGACTTGCTCCTTAAACATTGGTCAAGCATGGTCAAACCATCGGTCATTTAACTGTTTCTTCAAAAAGAAACGAGCAGCAGAGAGCAAATTGTCATCACACCCGCCAGCAGGCGATAATAGACAACCACACACATCCACGCGTTTTCCGGGATTCCAAACAGGACTGAACGCTATGACAGCCAGCTCTGCTAATCACGATACAGAACTTAATACTGTTGTGCTGTTGTTCTTGTGACTAATCTCGCTTTTCTGATATCAGAGCAATCCCACGAAATTCATCTTGGCAAGGACTCAAATCCGCCTGTTGTTGGCAAGAGCCATGGACACCATACGGCTGACAGTACGACTTAGTTCAGTTCCGTCCTGCAATTTTGAGAGGAGTGGACATGTCCGAGGGTCTCCCACTCCTCTTCCCCACCACCAAGCTCTCGAGACGATTTTCGGCTCGCCGTATAGAGAGTCCCTATGACGCACAGACCCTCTACATTTACCAACATCCATGCCTTCTCCAGGTTTCGAACGCGGGCCATCGGTACAACAGTCATGGTCCTAACCACTATCTTGGTTGAGCGGCACATTTTAATATTAATAACAGCACTTAAGTCAAAATGAAATATACATTCATTCCAGGTCTATGAGGTCCCTGCTTTTGGGTTATAGGGACACTCGTGTCCAGGTGGGTTGAAGGGAGCCTCCAATTCTTACATCTTTCCAGGTCTAGTATTAATAAAAATAGAGCTCCACATTTCAAATCGGTTTGAGAACTTTAAATCTAGTTCATTATGACATAATGATATAAATTAAAGCCTTCTTTCAGGAAAAACACTTCGTTAATTCCCAGTGCATTACAAAATTTTTGCATTAAAACACTCGTTACTCATTCAACTAAAAAAACTAAACTCAGTGGCGCAACAACCCTAGTGAACCACGGCCTGCAGTGCCCTAAATTTGCTGTTTTGACCTTGGACCCCGGAATACATCAGCATATGCTCTGGGCAAGCGGTCGGCTTGTCTCAGGACCCCTGGTGTTTGGGCCCCAAGCGAACTTGGTACTCATTTTATCGACCCACTCAAGTAATGAAGGGCTGAGTCAACCTTGCCCAGCCCGGGGATCGAGCCCCGGACCTGGTGCAGCTGCGCTATGCGCTAGCCACCTTGTCACCGGGCGGTCATTCAAAGTAATTTTTTAATAATAAAATTAGCAGCAGTAATAGAATGTAAAAATTAATTTAATAAATCTTTAAATACTCTAGAAGAAAGGAACATCGGATCTAATTTTTAAAATATGACGAAGGAACTAACGATACGAATGCGAAGTTCGAAAGGCGAGTATAACACTTGACGATTCTTGTACGAATGTTATTTTTGTTTCGACGAATTTGCATCAGTGGTAATTTTATCTCAAATTGGTATACAAAATACATGACGATATCTTTCGTTTATATTTAATAAAAACACCAAAATATATCACAGTAATACAGACACATCGACTGCGACAGCGAACCTACAGTTACATAATGTAAACACAGAAGAATTCTTTCGGCGCAACTGAAAAGTTGTAACACAAAATAACAAGCAAACATAAATGCAGACGCAAGCTTTTAAATTCTAAGTTATTCTTTGATATTTGCTGATTCAACCTATGTTATCTGTTTTTGCAATTTCGACCTAGTAGAAAAAAGGAAGGAAGAATGTTGTTGTATGTCTCTCTTTTGTTTTCGTAGAATATGGGAATGTAAGAGAGAGTTAGAAAGCAATACTTTACTGAATTTTCGGAACATAATTTTTGCAATCACTTTGTAGACTAGGTATTTTTTTTAAAATTTGTCATATCTAATTTTATTCTTTCCTCATTACATTTCACAGCAAGTCGTCAATCAAAGGGTCAGCATGTGGGCGGTAAGCCCTGGCACGAAGAAAGCAGCTGAATTTCAAAGAAAACATGTGCATAATATTCTTGAAATCTGTGATAAGCTACAGTCATCAATCCTGAATAAACTCATGGATATGGAAGGCGGTGAAGATATTTTAACATTTCAACCAAAAGAGGAATAGGAAATTTATTTTTTGTGCTCGTAAATTCTACTTCTAAGGGAATAAAGAACTAATGTTTCAGTGTGCTTTTATTTATCACTGCATTTATGCAATGTAATTTAATAATGTGTGTTTTTCCTAACACTCTCAAACTGGCTTAATTGTTTTTTTTTTCATTCTTAAATTAGAATCCAGACTTCTTTCTCTCTTCCCCCATCAGAATTTATTACTTCAAAAATTATGAATGAATTACTTCAAAATCAATCTTTAAATCATAAATTATTATAATTTTCTTTAATAATATAAAAAAATTATTAATTTTCCATTTAAAATTAATCTTTCATTCATTTTGAACTATTATTTACAAACTCGAAAAAATATGAAAACTTTCAAATTTTATATTATGCGCAGAGGGGCGTTTTTTTCATTTACATACACATACATATTTCGAGAGCATTTGGGCTAATGTTCCTTTGAGCTAAAAATATTTAAAAACAGCCTATCTTTAAAATTTCCGGTAGATACTCTCGCGCTCTGAAGATAAAAATGTTTTTTTTCCCGTAAAGTGTTGCCACTGCTGTCTTTGAAACCCTTGAGTTTGTTAATAAAAAATTCGTTAAAGATTTACAAAATATGAAATAAATAATAAAACAAACCCTAAATTCAAAATTTGGGGGGCTTTCATATTACCATATTCGAATGGAGGACTATGTTATTCAAAATCTGATGTCTCTAGGTACTTTTTTCTTTTTACAGGGCGAGAAACATACCTACATTGATGCAAATTCTTCATTATTTAATTGCTTTAAATATAATGCATGGTTTTAATATTTGGTGGCAACAACTTGGAAAGTGAGACGCCGTTTTATAGTGGAAGACGCAAAATGCCAAAACGAAATTAATAACCCTTCTGGACGAATTGCCCCTTTGAGCTAATAACTACAACAAATAGTTTGAAGTACCGCAAAATATGATAATCATTTTAGTATATTAGTCACATACTATAAGTATACGTAGTATATACTACGTAGTCATATACTTTCAGTTACAGAAGTGTTTTCAGTAACGAAAATATTCATGTGTTGGCAAGGTCAAATTTTAGGGGAAAAAAAAAAATATTTTCGCCGAATAACGAAATTTAACGTTTAGTGTGACCTGCTGTTTCCTACACTTATATTTGGGAAAATTTTATACTCGTTAGGAAAAAATAAAAGTATAAGAAGTTTAACTGGCGTACGACAAAAATTGACCGGAATATTTAATTTCAAAATTTGCAAATTTGATATTATTTTCAACTTGCCTTGAGAGATCGGTTACTTAAGTTAGAATAATTCGAGGCAATAAAATTAAATGAAGTGTTGTAGGTTATTTTCTTTTTTTTTCTTTTTTTTTTTTTGGAAGCAAAAAAGATGAAAAATGAGCAACGCCTTCGCCGGGAATCGAACAACGGACCTCTGGAATACGCACCCAGTGTGCAGACCACTACACCACGAAGGCACGCTAAGAAGGCGGGAGAAATACCTTATAGTGTAGGCAACAAAAATTATAGTTAAATACGCTGTACAAGGAAGTCACGTGATGTTTGCATCAGATTTTTTACTTTACAAATAAAAAAGATATGAATATTTGCATTATTTAGAACATTTTTATAACGGAAAGTATATATCTATTACCAACCATTGCGAAAATAAAGGCCGATTAAGAACTTTTATGGATGCAAAAATAAAACTACTAAAATAAAACTTATTCTTGGCAACTGTTTCTTTTCAGTAAACAAGTAAAAGAGGTAATATAGCTTCATAACAAAAATAAGCGCTATTAAAATAGAGTGCACCAATTCCTGCTTTAATATTTATGGCTTTTTCTTCTCGTGCGACAACCCAAGCGTAGAGGGAATAAAACAACTTATAGATAATAATTACAGTTCTTCACGATACCTGCGTGCCTGTCTTTTGAGCATGCTGTTTGTCAATATGTTATTTACTGAGAAACAACCGCTGCGAAAAGCCACTAATAATCTAGTAAATGTTTGCTTGTAATTGATTATTATTCCTATTATCTTTTTATGTTTTATTCCTCTCCCCCGTCAGTTTTTCTCTTTCGCGTTTTTCTTTCTTGGTTTCATTTGAGTATGTTACCATTATTATTTAAATCATCTCTATTCAATAAATATCAGCTTCTTTCGTTGTCATACTAGTTGATGTGCAGATGAAGCTACAATACCTATTTATGCCTAAATATTTCAAAGCAGAAAATAAGATTTTTCGACTAAATTTGACAATGTAAGACAATACTCAGGTAAAGTTGCAACAGTGTTGTATTGAATACCAAAGAAAATAACATTATTGGATGTTTCCTGCTTTCAAAGATAAATAATTCCTATTTGGTTCTACATTTGTTGCTTAAAAAATGTAACATTTGGCTATTTATGGCATAAAGCAACGCTACATGAAGTGTGAAATTTGGAATAACAAGTATGTGCAATATTGTTATCTACTTAAATTTCAGTGAAAAAGTTATTTAAAAAATGTCATACTAGCATAAAATTTAAATGTGAATACGTAGACTTACGGAGCGCTATTTTATTTGAACAACTGAAACTTCAAAACGATAATTAAGACGAATCAAGATCTTTAGTTTCTTTAAAGTTCTTATCTTTTCCTTATTTAAAAACAGTTTTGGTATTTTAAAGCATTCTACAATGAGAAAAAATCTTGACGTCTTGCTAAATATAGCAGGAAAAATGTTTTACAGATTCTAACATTTTATTATATTAGTAAAGTTAACTATAGTATTTAATAATAGTTTGCTAATACTATCATAAGAGATATTTTATAGTTCATTTATTTATCAAAGACAATTTCACTTCTTAGAGAAGAAGATGCAGTTTTCAACATAATTGACTTAATCGTAATCATATCTTAATCGTAGAGATAATACATAATGAAAATGTCATACGTAGATAAAAGCTTCGTCATTATACAAAGATAATATTTTATATTTGAAACAAAAATTTAAAAGTATTTTAATTTCAGGAAATTCAAATTTTAATCCTGTATTTGAAATGAGCCAGTTTGCTGACATAAATAGTTAATATAATATTGGACCGAAGAATAGTGAAAATTTGGGAAATCTATTCTGAAGATTAAAAAATGGTAATAGAATTTAACGACTCTTTTTCAAATCCAGTTCAAATCACTGGCAACTGTGATGGTTGATCGCACGAAAAGAATCAAAGAAAAAATATGTATCTCCCAGCCATAGACTGGCGAATTGCTTTATTATGATTTGCGTACCTGCAGTTTTGAAGACGAAAAAGTATTTCTCTTCTAAAAAAATGATGAAAGCAAATGTACATAAAGCATGGATAATCCGCCCTTCTTTAGAGAACAATGACCGATGTGTTCTAGAAGCATATGAAACTGAGTCATCTGACATTGTTATAGACGTGTTGTGGTACATGGGAGTGAATTTCAAATTTTGTAGAGAAGCAACTATTTGTGAATATGTTCTTCGATACTTTTTAAGTCTCATATATGTAATAGGTGTAATATATTCTTTTAGCATACGAATTTATGCTCTTTCTTTACATAACAATGACTCCATGATTGTAACTGAGCTCTTAGCTTTTCTTAGCTCCATTACATTGTATATAACTATTCATCTAAGACGCGATAAAATCATAAGCATTCAAAATACCTTAAGAAGTAGTCAAAACAATCTTCAGACTTATATTGTGTTGAAGAAATCGAACCAAGTCATTGCAATCTGTTTCCTAACGGTAATTTTGCCAATCCTAGCTGGTGCTTTAGGGATGTTTTTAGCTACACGTTTGCGTGAAGACATTAACAAGTATCTAAATTTCCTTACCTTTGGCACTAAATTTCATATTGGACTGCATTACAAATATATTCTATTGTTTCTTCTGAGGTCATACGATCTTTGCGTCTGCTTCGTGCCTTCTCAAATGTCGTGTCTTTTGCTGTCAGTAATATGTTATAATACAAGCAGGTACATCGAAGAAACACGAAAGCAGATAGAGGTAAAATCTAAATGCACAGTTTCACTGAATGCCACGGACATTCCTATCAGACTACACAAAAAAGTTCAGAAAACAGTGAGCGAACTCGAAAATGCTATCAACATTCCTTTGCTTTTTGCTATGGTCTTTCTACTCTGTGGGCTGTTTGCTTTGATGAGTAATTCTGTTTACATGGTGAGACATCATGCTTCTTTTGCATCACTGGTCGTTGTTTTGTATGCGTTCCTCACCACCGGATTTCACTCTGTTTTCATCATTTTCAGGGCATCGAGCGTCGGAGACGCATATAAATCTCTCATGAGATCCTTCACGGAAATACCAAATGAGAGTCTCGAATCTCAAAATGTAAAAGATTATCTGCATATATTAAAAATTACTGTATTTCAAGAAAATCTTCAACTCAGCGCTTGGGGCATGTTTCCCATAACAAGAGGATTATTTCTTACAATTGTTGGAACGTTAGCTACGTATGGAGTATTACTTGTACAGTTCACGTGAAGGCACATTTGTTATCTGTTTAGTGGATTATGGTAAAATACACGAGGATTATCAATGGCCAGTTAGAAAAGCTTCAGTTAAATTATACGCTAAATAAATGACAGCAAAAATGCTACACTATTAGTTTTTATTGTTATACGGTTAAAAACTTTTGTGTTTTAAGTTGTGATTCTGCCAGCGGTAATTACATGTATGCGCTCCGTTTAAAATCTAGATTAATCTTGCTAGACTAATTACGCTAATTTTGCATATACAAATTTACATAACGTAATACCTTTTAATGGAATATTTTGCCAAATGAAAAAAATATTAGAAGTAATGGTCAAAGTTTTATTTACCACAAGATTTTGAAATGAGAACAATTCGGCTTGTACCGAAACAGACCATAACTTCTAAAATGGTGTTTTTACAGATTTAAGGAAGCTTGTTACGCTTATGATCAGAAAACCATTTCGGTGATTTTGCAACTCTGGTTAAACATAATCTTAAAGTAAACAAAATGAAGAAATTTTTAAACAGCAAT